GAGAGCAGGTCTTTGTACATCTCCTCATAAGTAGTGCCGAAGTCATAGACATTGGGTTTGTCCTGAGCGGGTCCGGGCAGCTTCACCTGATTGCCTACCAGTCCACCACAACACACGTTAATAAGCAATCAATTCATTGCTAATTCAATGCATACCTGAGCCGAAAGACCGCACTTTAAACCCCTTTTTACTGTAAATATGTGGCAATCAATCAATTAGTCGGTGATAGACGTGTCAACACACATGACATAATGGACAGCATTTCAGCCATCAATGGTGACATACCTGAGCACCGCGTGTGCCTCCATAGACCGGTTCTGATTACTACTGCAAACCACAGCTATTCTCAGATCAAATGCCATCTGAAGATGTCTCGATTCACTCAACAGATCATCAAAACATCAATTTATGAACCAATGAGTCCATCAAATCCAAGATACAGTCAACACTCAAGTTTGGGTCAGTTTTGGGTGCATTCAGTGCCACACAGTGTCTCACATTCACACTCTCTGTCACTAAAGTCTAATGTATTACTGGAACAATAACTGGTAATACTGTAATAGTGCAGAATTGGTGCAAGGTACCAAGGATATTCAGTACAGCATAGTCATGAATTGTCTTAAACAAAATTATATAACTTTATTTTTGCATTCATTTATATAAGGGTAGTATAACTAACTTAATTGAATTGAAATAATGCACTAATAATGTGAGATAAATGTGAATCATTAGAAAGCAGACACACATTGAAAGCAAGCCTTTACTCACGAATACTAATCACGAGTTACTGTAAGCTTACGATCGCTTCTCATAAATACATAAATACTAGGATTGAGTGAATGATTGAGTGAATGATTGTTGCAGTGATTGAGTGTCAGTGAGAGTCAGTTGACAACAATCAGTGACCAAAGAGTCGAGTAATACGTGAGTGAAGTGAACGCGCGCTCAACACACGGGTCATGAGTTTTGCACGATTTCAATGACTGTATCACTGAATGGTGTGACGAGTGATGCACTGATGGACTCTTCACACACGACCACAACTGTCACGACAGACAACACCCAACACATGGACCACAAGAGCCAACAATACGCCAGAAGTCGTTGGAACGGCTGGAATGGGAACCAATGCGTGCACCGCAAGCACTACACCCAAGCCATCGACTTCTACACGACTGCCATCCACTTGTATCCATACGAATACCGCTATTTCGTCAACAGATCCTATTGTTGGGATCAGTTGCACAACTTCGAGAGAGCCCTCTGTGACGGCCATCAGGCACTCGCTCTCGACCAACACAACAGTAAATGTCATTTCCGTGTCGGAAGGGCTCTGAAGGGACTGAAGCGACTGCGAGAGGCAGAGCACCACTTCCTGCAAGTGATGCGATTGGAGGCCAACACCTGTCACGAGGCCATCGACGAGCTGACGCACGTCCGCACACTCGCCGCCATCGAGTGCGGTGTCGGACACACCGTCGCGTCACAAGTGGCCAATCGGTCCAAGAATATTGAGGACACCATCGACACCATCACCAAAGACCAGATAAACCTGTCCTA